TATACGGAGAAGTGGTAACAATGACAGCATTGTCAAGTGGCAGCAGCATGCATGATAACAATTATAATTACAATAATCTAGGCCATGTTGAAGGTTCTTCCTGTTACAAAATGATATACTCTGCCGCTTAATTTGCTCAACGATCTTCAACAGTTTCCTCTTATCTTGTGCTAGCTTAGTCAATGTATTTATCTTATTCCTTAATTATAGGATTTGTTATCTTTTCTATTTATCTTTATACAATTGTAACTCTATATATAGCTTTGTATATTCTTGTAATCAATCAGTGAAAAATATAATACAAAAATATTTATCTTTATATGGTATCAGATTCCTTAATCTTGAAACCGTAACACCCTTCCGCTGCTTTCAATGGCCTCCTCATCCCCAACCTCCTGGTCAACCCCTCTAATCCCATGCAACCTTTCATTGTTGTTAATATGCAAAATGTTCTCAAGCTCACTCCCACAAACTATCTTTCTTGGAAACTACAAGTTGAGGCCTTACTCGTAAGTCACGACGTTTTCCACTTCTTTGATGGAAGTACACCATGCCCTCCACCCACTATCACTGTCGATGATGTTGAACAACCTAACCCAAACCACATAGTCTGGACTCGCCAAGATCATTTTCTTTTTGGCTGTTTAATTGGCTCTATCTCTCCCAACCTTGTACCACTCATCTCCCAAGCCAAAACCTCTGCCCAAATTTGGGAGAAACTACATAAAACCTACGCACTCCCTTCCCGTGGTCATATCAAACAGCTTCGTGACAAATTTAATCGTATCATTAAGGGCACTTCATCCATCTCTGATTATATGCGCTCCCTCAAGGAGTGTGCAGACCATCTCGCTGCTCTTGATAAACCATTGATCACGAGGACTTTATAGACCGTGTCCTCGCTGGTCTTGATGACTCTTACAAGTCTATTGTAGACTCTATAAATGGCAAAGACACATAATCTCCTTCGAAGAGCTTCACGAAAAGCTCATCAACAAGGAGCTTTCGATCCTACAAACTCATACAACCCCTGCCACCTCTCTACCCGCAACTGCCTTTGCTGCTTTCTCTAAACCGCAAAACCGTCCTTCACCCAAACACCCATCTCAGGGCCTTCTTCCTACTCCCTCCTCAAACCCCCCTAAAAACCCTCGCCCATTCCTCGGAAAATATCAATGGTGCCGAGAACAAGGTCATGTTGTGGCTCACTGCCCTCTCTTCACTCGCCAATTTCCGTCAGCCACCCCCCTCCTCCTCTTTCACGCTCCACCTTCACTCCCACCCCTCGACCTTCCTCTCACCTGCAAGCAAACCATGCTCAACTCACCTTGCCTTCTTCTCCTTCTACTCCCTGGTTATTGGATAGTGGGGCATCCCACCATGTCACCAATGACCTTACTAATCTATCTCTTCATGCTCCTTATGATGGCACCGAAGAGTTGATAGTTGGTGATGGTAAGGGTCTTCATATTTCTCATATTGGATCTTGTGTTCTTTCTTCTCTAGTCCTTAATAATGTTTTAGTAGTATCATCTATAACCAAAAATATTATCTCTATTTCTCAACTTTGTCTTGATAACAATGTCTCTATATTATTTTAATCTAACTCTTTTTTCTTAAAGGACCTTTCAACGGCGAAAGTGTTGTTTCAAGGGACAACTAGCCGCGGCATATATGAGCTTTCTTCCTCTCCTCCTTCGGTCTACGCAAGCACATCTTCGTCTTCCATTGATTGGCACCATCGTCTAGGTCATCCGTCTAGGAATGTTAGTTTTTTGTCATATTATTTCAGAAAATAAGTTAAATATATCTAGTATTTCCACTTTAGATTGTAATTCATGTGCTTGCAATAAAAGCCTTAAGCTCCCCTTTTCTATCTCTTCTATTAAATCTACTGCTCCTCTCGAATATGTTTACACTGATTTGTGGACATCACCAGTTTATTCTCATGATAATTATAAATACTATCTTATTTTTGTTGATCACTATTCCAAATACATTTGGCTATATGCCATAAAACAAAAATCGGACACCAAGTCTGTTTTTCTTCGACATAAAGCTCTTGTAGAGAAATTTTTTCAACTCCCTCTAAAATCACTTTATTCGGATAATGGTGGAGAATATCTTACTCTACAACAGTTTCTCACCTCACTACTCCCCCTCATACACCCGAACACAATGGTTTCTTTGAACGCCGCCACAGGCATATAGTTGAAACCTTCCTTTCTCTTCTTTCTCATGCGAATATGCCCCTTGAATTTTGGTCTCATGCCGCATCCACAGCAGCCTACTTAATAAACCGGCTACCCACACCAACTTTAAATAATGTTTCACCATACTTTAAACTATTTGGTCACAAGCTTAATTACACTAAGCTCCGTAGCTTTGGGTGCTTATGTTACCCTTGGCTTAAACCATATACATCCCATAAACTCGATCCGAAGTCCAAACCATGTGTCTTTATTGGCTATTCTTCCTCCCAAAGCGCATATTATTGCCTTGAACCCTCCACCATGCGAATTTACACCTCTCGTCACGTAATATTCAATGAGTCTATATTTCCTTATCCCGCATTAACTCAATCACCATGCATTTCTACTGATAGCTTACTTGATCAGTGGGCTCCTCTAGCAATTCCATCACTCATACGCACATCTTCCTCCCCTACTCCCACTTTGTCCTCCTCGCCTGCCCACTCCCCTTCACCTACACTTAACCCACCGCAAACACCATCAACCTCTACATCTCATCAATCACCGTCACCTTCTGCATCACCGCAAACATCCGCATTCTCTTCATCACCGTAATCATCATCTCCACCCCCTACTTTATCCTCTGTCTTGCAACCCCCATCCACCTCTCCTCAAATTGTTACTCATCTTCAACATGGCATTCGAAAACCCATTACCAAACTCGACCTCAATGTTGAAGCTCATGAATCCTCCCTTCCTAGAAATATTACACAAGCTCTAATTAAAGAGTTCGGTGTGGAGAAAAGCCATGGAAAATGAAATTCATGCTCTCCAAACCAACAACACATGGTCTCTAGTTCCCTCTTCTCCTTCCCAAAACGTAGTAGGCTACAAATGGGTATTCTGCATTGAACGAGATAAAGATGGTGCTATCACACAACATAAAGCACGTCTTGTAGCTCGTGGTTTCACCCAACGAGTTGGCATTGACTACGGGGAAACCTTCAGCCCCGTAATCGAACCTACCATAGTTCGGTTGGTCTTATCTCTTGCTGTTACTCATGGCTGGCCCCTTCGTCAATTAGACATTAACAATGCCTTTCTTTAAGGCACTCTAACTGATGATGTCTTCACCATCCAACCACCTGGTTTTGTTAACCCACAATATCCCACCCATGTCTACAAATTGAACAAAGCGTTATACGGTTTAAAACAGGCTCCTCGAGCCTGGTACACCGAACTCCGTCACCATCTTCTTCAACTTGGTTTTCGCAATACCATCTCCGGTCCTTCTCTATTCACTCTCTTTGTAAACGACATCACCGTGTATCTTCTTGTCTATGTTGATGATATAATCGTCACTTCCAACATGCCCATATTTCTAGACTCTTTCATCACTGAACTATCTGCAAGGTTCTCTCTCAAGGCCTTGGGACCCTTTCGTACTTTATAGGGGTTGAAGTCATGCCTCATCCTCATGGTTTATTCTTAAGCCAAACCCGTTACATAAATGATAAACTTTGTAAGGCATATATGGACAATGCAAAGCCCACCTCTACTCCTCTTGCTGTCCATCCTCCCCTAACCAAAATCGGAAACCCTGTCTCGGACCCTTCCCAATACAGAGCACTCATTGGCAGCCTCCAATATTTGAGTTTAACACACCCGGATGTTGCTTTTGCCGTCAATAAATTGGCTCAATACATGCAATGTCCTACTGATTCCCACATGCAGTCTCTCCATAGACTTTTGCGTTACCTCAAAGGTACGTCTACCATAGGTCTTACCCTTCATAAACACACTCCTATGACACTCCATGCATATTCTGATGCTGACTGGGTTAGGGATACAGATGATTTTATCTCCACGACTGCTTATGTGGTGTACATTGGCAGAAACCCTATATCATGGTCCTCAAGAAAACAGAAAACGAGAGCACGATCCTCCACCGAGGCCGAATATAGAGCAGTAGCTGCTGCCTCCACCGAAATCTTATGGGTTCAGAATTTATTACATGAGCTTCATCACCCCTTGTCTTCTACGCCGGTTATATATTGTGATAATGCTGGAGCAACATATGTGAGTGCAAATCCTGTATATCATTCCCGTATGAAACACCTTGCTTTGGATTATCATTTTGTGCGAGAAAATGTACAAGCCAGAAAACTCCGTGTTGCTTACATATCCACCAATGATCAACTAGCGGATGCTCTTACAAAGCCTCTTCCCAAGCTTACATTCACTACATTAGTCGACAAAATCGATCTGTCCTTGCCACATCCTGTTTTGAGGAGGCGTGTTACAGAATGATATACTCTGCCGCTTAATTTGCTCAACAATCTTCAACAGTTCTTGTGCTAGCTTAGTCAATGTATTTATCTTATTCCTTAATTATAGGATTTGTTATCTTTTCTATTTATCTTTATACACTTGTAACTCTATATATAGCTTTGTATATTCTTGTAATCAATCAGTGAAAAATATAATACAAAAATATTTATCTTTATACTTCCCTGCAACAAAAAACCAATGCATTACACATTTGATTTGGGTTAATTAGCTGATATTAAAAGTATGGAAAAGGGGAAATGTTAGGAACATACCCCACATTAAAGAAACAATAAAATAAAAAAAGTTGTGTCCAATACTCCAAGACCATGTGACTATATCAATTCAGTGAACTCTTGTTATGATGGGTACGATGTGGCCCAAGCCCATTTACGCATTTATACACTATTCATATATTCATTTTGACTATCAATGATAGTAGGATCCGATACTACCTTCAGTTTTGAAATTTTTAACGCTATGCATTTTTCATCCATGTTAGAAATTTCTGTGAGTGTTGAAGCTTGTTGTATCTCACTTGTGAGTGTCTCATATTGGAGAAAGAAGAGTTACTCTTACTATTGCCAATTGATTTTAGTATGAATGCTCCTAAGTCTTGCTTGTGGACCAAACTCTCATCCTCCTTGTTCGGATTGCCTAGGCCCATTTCATATTGTCTCGAAATTTAACAGATTTTTCAAAATATGATTTGATAGTTTAACAGTTTGAGCTTATAATAAACTATTTTTTCTTTCCCCCTAATTGAGCTTATACCTGGTAAACAGGTCGTTCGGGTCGGGTACGGGTCGGGTACGGGTCGAGTCAGTCACTATTCGGGTCGGGTCAATTTGGGTTTCTGGTCAATGGTAATTCGGGTCGGGTCGGGTCGGGTATAGGGTCAACACTTCGGGTCAGTCTTCGGGTCCATTTGTCGGGTCAAGTTCGAGTCGGGTCAAATTCGGGTCGAGTCAATTCAGGTCGGGTCAATCTTCATCTAAGTCGATGTAGAAATTTGATCAATAATATAATATTATTATCAATAAGTATAAAGTATAACAATTGAATATTAATAAAATATTCATTAGACAATTCCAACAGTACTATACACTCAAGACGACTATATTGTTTTGTATGTATAATCACTATCATTGATTAATTGGTCATAAATTCAAATTAGATAAAGTAAATAGTTGGAAAAAAAAAGAATCAATGTACTCCCTCCTTTCCAAAATACTTGGGACGTTGGGGTGGACACGTAGTTTAAAAAAAGAAAACTATAAGTGTATAGTTCGGGTCACTTTGGATTTCGGGTCCGTTTGGGTCAATCAATGTGGGTCAAGATCGGGTCGGGTCGCTTCAGGTTTCGTTTGGGTCAATTAATTTTGTGTTCATCTAATTTTCTTTCTAAAGGCTCTCATCATTTAAGTTATAAAAAAATAATAAAGAAGTTTTGTGGATGCAGCATGAGCACTCCTCATACCAATCGCTCACTATTCCAATTGAAAGTGAAGATGGATGAGATTTAAACTCGTGACCTTTGTGCCACGTTGGTTCTAATACCATGTTAGAGACCAACTCAACTAAATGCTTAATCTTATAGTTGAAGTACAAGAATATGTTTTATACTCTATCAATATGTTAATGAACACAATAGTCATTTGGGATCGATGTTGATATTGTATGTAACAGATATTACATAACTTACAATTTTATACTTCAATTTGATAATATGCAGGTGGTAGAAATTATACTAGTACATCCAAAGATTAAAAAGAATGCGGTTAACAAAAATGGATTGACAGCTGTGGATACTCATAAGCAAAGTCGGAAGGATTTGACACAAGATACAAAAATATGGAAACTCCTTACTTGTGCCAATGTGTTACCCGCAAAGGAAGCACTGAAAATGACAAAAGACCGTGCTTGGTTGGAGGAACATCGCACATCTCTAATGGTGGTGGCATCCTTGATCGCAACCATGGCTTTCCAAGTTGGAATTAATCCCCCAGGAGGCGTTTGGCAGGATACAAAGGTAGTAAAAGATAAATATGGCTCTAACGACTCTACCCACTATGCTGGTACTTCTGTATGATCATATGGTGAACTTTTTTATTACAATTATGTACTAGTTAGTAACACCATTGGACTAATATCATCCCTAAGTGTCATCCTTCTCCTTATAAGCGGTGTTCCATACAAGCGACGTTCATTAACGGTTTTGAGGATAATCCTATGGATTTCTGTCATGGCAACAACATTGACATACATGTTCTCGGTATCCAATCTAACTTATGGAGATGGCGGAACTCGGTCTTCCATGCAAGAGACTTCTCTCGTAGCTTGGCTAGGGTTAATGGGATTTATACTCGTGGGACATTTTTTGCGATTCATATGGAAGCTTATTAGTGATGTGTTATCAATAATGATGTGTTATCCGACAAGGTCAAAAAACACTACAAATGAATCCAATTTGATCGACGACGTATGATAGTCTCAACGCAAGGTGCGTCGTCTTCACATTCATCGCGTTCTACTCCGGCCATGTTTGTTTCCCGGCTGTTCAATTATAATGTACGAGTAGTACTTTGTTTTTTTTTTTTTTTTTTTTTCTAAGAAGTACTTTGATTAATTAGATTGCACTAAGCATGAATTTATTTATGTACCATCTTCATTATTAGCTTAGCTTGTTTGTCAAAGTTTGTTGCTTTCCATTTTAAGTGTAATATATAACCAAACATCAATTATAATTGGCCTATCTTCATTCATAATGCTCTAATCTACTTCAAAATTACTTAAGCTTGTGTCCTAACTAGAATGTTATATGTTGGAGTAAAGGAAGGAATCCAAAAAAGGCTGACCTGGGCGCTCGACCGGGCGCGAGAAGAGTCGTAATTTCTAAGGTTCCGCCGCCCGACCGGGCGCGAGAGGAACTTGAAAAATGAAGGAATGATCGCCCGACGGGGCACAAGAGCAGCCTAACTTTTGGTTGGATGCTCGCCCGATCGGGCGAAACTCCGCCTGACCGGGCGCGAGTGCAGCCGTTTAGTTGCTTAGTTCTCTTGGATTCTTTTCCTCTTCAATCACTTGTAACCCCTCATTTAAGAGGTGGTTTTATGATGATTAAACACATGTTTATTCTTCTTATTTTTTCCACCTTTTCATTTTTCCCTTGATCTTCCATCTTCCCTCCATTGTTCTATATATTTTCATGGTCAGATTTTCAAAGAAAGACACAAAAAAAATTACTCTTGTGAAACACACTAAGCTAAACACTTTTCTTCTTTGGGCATAAGTATGCATAGGCTCCACCTCTCATTTTAAAGTGCCTTAGCGTGAGAGTGGTGTGTAACCTTAGGGAATGATCCAGCGAATACAATTGAGCACCCCGGTTACAACGAAATTCGTTTTCAAAGACAGTGATTATTCACGCCACACCGAATTTCCTATCCTTTGTTTGTTTTTCTTTCGCCTTGTTTTAGACACCTTTTAACAACATTATATTCTTATATATTTGTCTATTTTTGTAGGAGATTTACTTTGTCCATCTCATTTTGTACAAATTCTAAAGCCATGTTATGTTACATTTAGTCTTTCTGATAGCATGAATAATGAAATTTATCTGAACATCGTATGTATAAAGCTTTACTCCTTCCATTCACAAATTTTATTCATTAATGATTCCTTTTATTTTTTATGTCCAAAAGCATCTACTTCTTGCACCTAGGAATACATAAAATCTTTCAACACAAATAAATCTTCCTGTTACATAATTTAGATTTTTATTCAATCCGTACAACTCATCACTTAATTTTGACTCCTCAAGTGAGAATCTTTATTTCTTTCTCACTCTAATATTAATCCAAAATTGATATAATGTGGGTTCAAATCTTTTTACCCAGCATCTAATGATCTTTTAATCAATTTATATTATATTTTGTATACGTATATTCTTTTTTCCCCTGGTACTATATGTCTATGTACTATAAATTAAATTACATGCCCGTTTTTTTTGTGTCAAAAACTCAAAAGCTCACTAAAAGATTTATTACGAATGGAGATACTATACATATAAAAATGTCTACATAGAAGTAATTTATGTTAATAGATCGAATCTAACAACCAGTCTCTTAGGCTCTCTTCTTTGCTTTCTATTATTAAACTAAAAGAGACATGTTATTAGGTTCTCTCCTTTAATTTGCTTTTGTTTTAAACTAAAAGAGACCGGTTACGTTCTCTCCTTTGCGATCTGTTTTAACTTAAAATAAACTGCTTGTGTAAGAGATTAGGTCTCTTAGTTTTCTCTTTTGCTTCTCTAACATATGTGTGCATAATTAATTTTGTGTTCACCTATTTTAAAAAATATCTTTTTTTGAAGGCTCTCGTTTATGTTATAGTAAAATTTATGATTTCCAAATTATAACATAAATATATATTCATATTTTATTTATATTTAATCAATGTGTATGATACCAAATGTTGAACATACGAAGTAATTTTTACTATGATCATTTTAATATATTGAAAACTAGAGCATATATTATTCTGTATTTGCAAAATAATATAAAAATTTATCTATTAAAATAAATGTTTAAAATTAAAGGCTAATTTAAACGATAATATATACTACGTATAATACTTGTTTCTATTTTTATTTTCTTATTGTTTTGTACTACCCCTAGCTAGTTTATGTATATGAATATGCTCTTTTAAGCGACTAGTTAGTGTTAGTGAAGTTTTAAGTGCTTGTTTAGTTCCACATGGGAAACAAATTCCTACCTGAAATCATGTATTATGGGATGATTTTTCCTTTGCTAATTGCATAAAAATTGGGCAAAAGTGTTTTGTTGACGTCATTGGAATTAGTATTTTCTAGGAAATAACTTCCTATGCATTGTATGTAGGAATTCACTCACCTATCTAGGGGCTTGGTGAGTTATTTCCCATGCTATGTGGGAATTGACATTCCCCTTGAAAATTTCATTTAATAGGAAATTTCTAACCAAATACAACATAATCTAGATATTGCCTAGGAATTTTCATATTCAAGGGAAATATCTTCCAACCAATTAATTACTAGAGTACTGGGTTTAGTGGGTTAATGTTAGGCATGATCTAATGATCAAGAAAAATATTCCTTATTTTTAGGTTAGTTTTGCAATGTATATGTTGGTATGTAGTACATTTTTAAGTGGATTGAATATGAGTTTATACTAATATTCTTTCCTCTCTCTCATATCTATTTATATATAATATAAACAGTGTAGCCCATAGAAAACAAAATAAAATATTACGTACTTAATTATAGTTTTACAAATTCTCTAAAAAGGCGGGTGTACGTTGATTTATTGTAAAACTGGTTAAAGTTATGTTAAAAGTATTTAAAGGTACCCTTTATACTGCAAAAGTTACTATATTTCTATTAATAAATTTTATCCTACAAAAAACTTACAATGTTAATCATATTAGTCTTTATAGTATGTAATCACGTATCTATAAGAAATTACACATTAAAATAAAATTCAAACCAACGACAAATTAAAAATTACCCTATAAGTGGTTAAAGTTACCATAAAAATATTTAAAGTTACGCTCAAACTGACCATTTTACAAAAAAATTAATATACACCCATTGTACACATGACTTATTATTCTTATGGTTTTTTGAAAGGAAGAGGGAAAAGAGAAAGAAAAAAAAAAAAGGAGGCGGCTATAAAAGGCTCGAAACAACACTTACAAACTTGACTTGTACGAATTTGACTTGTCAATAATCCTAGCTAGATTACAAATTCATAATACAGTGGAGTGAGCTTCCAAGAAAAGTACGAGAACTAATATAAAAATGACTACGTTCATTGATCTTACATTCTTAATTTCTTAGCCATAAAGGTTATAAAAGAGAATAATCAAGTAGTGCACAATTGCAAGTAAATTTTAATTGCATGGAGAAATGGATCAAGTAACTATATACGGAGCGAGTGAATAAATTAATTAATTTTAGATTTATTTTGGACTTTGGATTAATTACGTACACCTAGAGGATTTAGATATGGGCCTAAACTTTTTATGAACTAACATATTATTAGAATAAATATTATTGTAATATATTGACTTTTATATTATTCATGTACTTTCCTATAACTATCTACTATGATTTATAGGTAAGAAACGTGAAAGTTATTTAAGATCTTGTTGAAATTATCTTCAACTATTATTTTGATGGGCAATCTGCTTGCATATGCCCATAACCCTTACAACGATAACACACTCTGTTTTGTGTCGTGTTTGCGGCAGCCTTCACAGTAGGGGTACGCTTATCGTGTGATGGCTAGTTGAGTCCCAGACCTTAGAAGATGAAGAGGCAGTAACTATGGAGTCCTTAGACTCATTAAATTGTCTTTCGACAGTTGCAGCCAGCAAACAGAGATCATCAAACGTTTCATACGAACTCATCTCACACGCAAATCGAATATGTCTCGCCAACCCCAGAAAAAAATTGGCACACTTTTGGTCTTCTTCTTCGCGGCAACCACAAGCTAAATAGAGCTTCTCAAACTCTGTTATGTACTGCTCAACTGACAATGAGTTCTGCTGTAAAGAATTTAGCTTGACGAACAATTTTTGTTTATACGACTTCGGCACAAAACGCTTATGCATCTTCGATTTTAGGGAGCTCCAAGTTGTAATTGCAAATTCTCGTACCAAGTTGAAGCATAGCCGGATAGTTTCAAAATTGCTAGTTTAAATCGTTGGCCATCGTCAAGATTTTTTTGATCGAAAATACGATCCATACGTCACGACCATAAAGGTAAACCTCCAGGTCTTGGTTCCTTCGAATTCTGGATATTCACTCAATTTTAGAACAGATTCTTTCTGTTTTGGTTGGAGTGAAAAGGCAGCGAATGAGTCTTGCAGTATCATGATATGCTGGCCATACTGGATATTGCGTTGCTCTGCTTGTTCTAGCCGTGCAGTGAGCTCTTCAACACGTGGTTGATCACCATTGTTTACCATTGCGAGATCGTCAATGTACCTTGGATAACACTATTGATTTCCGTCACGGCAACAACATTGACATACATATTCTCAGTAACCAGTCTAACTTATGAAGGAGGCGGAATTTTGATTGCATTAGGGATTTCTCTCATGTTGTTGAACATATTGTGCGTTTCATATTAAAGCTTATTAATTGGCGAAGGAGGCAATCAATAATAAGAATTTGCAAGATGTGTTATCCGAGAAGGTCAAAAAACACTACAAATGAATCAAATTTGATCAAAAACGTATGATAGTCTCAACACAAGGTGCGTCGTCTTTACATTCATTGGCTCGTCGCGTTCTAATCCACCCATGTTTGTTTCCCGGTTGTTAAATAATAATGTACGAGTAGTACTTTAATTGATTAGATTTCACGCACTAAGCATCATTTTATTCGATCATGTACCATCTTCATTATTAGCTTGTATGTGAAAGTTTGTTATTTTACATTGTATGTGAAATATATGAGCAAACATCAATTATAATTGGCCTATCTTCATTTATAATGAGAATGCTCTAATCTACTACAAAATTACTTAAACTCGCGTCCAAACTAGAATGTTATATTCGTCTATTTTGTAGGAGATTTACGTTTTCAATGTCGTTTTGTACAAATTCTAACACCATGTTATGTAAGGTTTAGTCTTTCTAATAACATGAATATATAATGAAAATTATCTGAACATATAAAGCTTTTCTCCTTCAATTAACAAAATTTATTTTTTCATGGTTCTTTTTTATGATGTCCAAAACATGTACATCTTGCACCTAGCATTGGCGGATCTAGGGGGTACACAGAGGTACAGTTGTACCCCCATTCTCACAAAAAAAAAAAAAAAAAAAATTGTTGATCAAAGAGACCTTAAATCTTCTCATACAAACTGCTGACAACGGGTCTAAACACTATGACGCGTAATTATGTAGAGTATATGTAAAGAGACCGCCTATTAAACAATTGTTCTCTTTTGTTATTTCACTTTACCAGATACATTAATATGAAGTATTTGCTTAGTGATACTTTTTTTTTTTTTAATCCAAAACACTTAAATTAATTTTTTTTTAATCCAAAAACTTTTGTACTCACTATATAGTATATATCATACCTAGTAGTAATTTTTTTTTCATGCCTTCTTTACTTATATACTCCATTACTCCTTGTGTAGTTTATACTACTATAACACTACTATCACATATCAATTATTTTAAATATTATTTTACTTAAGATATATTGTTAATATTCTATGAATGTCTAAAGATTTCTCATTGATAAAATAAGAGTTTGCGCATTACAAGTTCTAAAAACTTAGTATATTCATTGACATATATATATGCTTTTAATTTATTTTTTTTCCTTCGAATAAAACTTACATATATATATTTTAATTACTATTGATGATTAATAAATAGTATGTCTGTCTCTTCGAAGACATCTGATGATAAAATTGGAACAAATAGGTTTATGTCTCACTTACTAAGAATCATTGTTAGGAATGTACTTGTAATATATATGCAAGCATCCATTATAATCGACCTATCTTAAGTTATAATGACAACGCTCTTATCTAGCTACTATGCAGCATGCAATTATTAAAG